CCTATAATTATTTTTTATTGATGATATGGACAAGCAAGGTTATCCATTTCAACAGCTCTCAAATGATCGACACCAGCGTTGCGTCATGTCCTACCTAATACTCAGAGCAGGGGTGTTTTGAACGATTAGCACAGAGGCGGGTGGGGGTTATGGTAGGTTGTAGTTACTCGCACATTGTGCTCGTAAATAATTTTTCCTGTTCGCTCGTAACAATTTTTACGAGCGAACACCACCACCCACTGTGGTGTTTTTTTGAACAGTCTACTATCTGTTTAAATACCAAAATGACACGACAGTGTAAACATCTTTGCTTAAGTGTAAATGGTACAGACCCCAACAGAGCAAATTTACCAGTCAGATAAAATCCAAGTGCTTAATTTTGTGGTTTGGCCAACTCATGGAATTAACCTTAATTAGCTTCAGCTGTTCAAGTATGCAGCCTACAATCATTTCAGCCAAGACAATGGATCAAGATAAGAAGTATGGACTACCATTGTATTTTTTGGGTGGCGATGGGCAATTTCATTTTCAAATTACAAATCCAGTCATGCCTTGAATAAGCACTGCAAACATACCATGGTAAAACACTGCTCTGTATGTTCATTGATGGCACACAATGCACAGTAGGTCTCTGTGTTAACTATGTTTGTCTCCTAGATGATCACTCCAATATCAGCCCCCTCCCCCCCACTAAGGAAGGCACAATGCTGTACAATAAGTCCCAACACTATAACATTCACCTTTTACTCTCCACCCATTTGGGGTAGATATTACAACCACTTGTCATTGTGTCTCAAGTGTCTGACATCACAAAGAGGCCTCCAATTGGTTTATAACTTATTACTGATAATACCAGCTTTGCAAGGAGCATGTCTCACATGCACCTATCTGTCAATGAATAACCAACAACATGAAAAGGGGCTACAACAAAATACAAGCTGTAACATTTGTAGCTTCAACTGTTTACAGAGAGGACTAGTGGAAATGTCAGCAAAAACCTATACAATTGGATTTCTTAGCCCAAAGCATGGATTAGATGGGTTTGTGCATGTGTCCTCGACCCATGGCTAACACAACGATGGGGTTAAGGCTGATGACCTTGATAAGACAGCACCCTGAAGATTGTGGCAGAAAGTGTGCGAGAGAGCGAGAGAGAGACATCAAGATCAAATAAGAACAGTATGATACATGATGTGCAAAATGTTCTGGGGGAGGATTAGATGGTCATTTTCTCAGTGGACAGTTATGTCATCATGGCAGGGAAGTGTACTGATGGAAATGGCGGTGTCCCTTTACCCTTTAAAATGACCCTGATGAGTGCTAGTTTCTACAGCAAGCCTTGACAGAAAGCAGACATTAAATACTGCTGTTTCTTTAAGACACCGGGATCTCCCCTTGGGAGTAAAGCCTGCAGTGTACTTATAGCTGTGGCTATATGGGCCTGCCTCCATCACATAGGCGTTTGTCAGAGTGAGAATGCATCCAGCTGAACCGAAGACTAAACCACTGTGTGTCAACAAGGCCTGCTAACAAAGGCAACCTTTCAGCACTCAGTGGTTTCCCCCTTCTCTCTTGCTTTTTGCAGGAACATTCACAGCAGTTCCAGATCAACTCTGACAGAGGATCTCTTGCACTGGCCCACCATACATCTCTATCTGTGATATCACGTGGCGGAGCAGGGTGACACTGGCATTCACCTTTGTCCCAGGTGCAGACAGGGACTACCTACATGCCCAACTCTGCAAGTTAGCACACAAGACACTCAGCACATAAAGGCACCAGCTCAACAATAAGTAATCACAACGTGCTGTCTTTCAGGGGTTGGCATCTACAATTCATTACATTACAACAAAGGAGAGAGATTAAACTAGTTTTAACCAGCCAGATAAAAAATTACAATTTGCTATCTTAACAAAGCCGCCTTGTTGGTTTCCTGGTAGATCTGCAACACGTCATACAACCAGTCAAAGTAATAATTTAGAAACTTCCTTAGAGTTTCACAGACAAAAAGTTGATCAGTTAAAACACTTTATTTTAATGGCAATAGCAAGGAGAACACTGGAAGGAGTGTAGTCTATATCAAAGTCTGTATTATAGCTGAAATTAGGGCTACACGATTAATCTAATCGCAATTGCGATGTCATCAGGTGTGATTACATAACCGTAAAAAGGGTGTGATTTAATAAAACAGAAAAAGTGTGTGAGACACTCTCTTCTCTGTGTGTGCTGCAGTCTGCTCATTATCCACGCTCCCACTGGGTTCTCATAAGGAAGGTTTGGCTAGCAAGCCATTTAGCTGTATTAGTGCCTTCAACATGTTCAACTTTTAATAAAGCCGATGTGCTTGTCAGTCACATTTCGTCAACCAATCAATCACAGCCTGGATGGGGCAGGACATTAAAAAAAAAGTCTGACGTGCTACATAATGAATAATATTATACTAATACACTCATGTATAGTAGTTCCTCCTCCAGGTTGTGGATAGTGTCTCTGCAATGGACAGATGTAACTTCAGCAAGAGCCAGGGTGCCAATATTTGCTCCTTCAAGCTGTTCTCCGCTCCTTGCTCTGTTTTACATCTGTTTTATTAGTTTTTGTTATAAAAATTGTTTATCATTTAACTTTGTTCAAGTTGAGAAATACACATTTCAAGATGTCAGTATTTGTGCATTAGACCTAAAGCAAGTACACTCAAAGCTACCATTTGTTCATTTGTGGGAGCAAACGCTGGCAGGACTTTACGGCAACATTAATTAACTCAACATCAAACTATATCGGTATAAACGGTATTGTCTAATTTCATATCTCTTTTGAAATTATATCGGTATACCTCATATATTGATATACCATCCAGCCCTAGTCAGGACATGTCTGTAATTAATAAGAATTCATTTTAAATGGTTATTTTGACATACATTTTGCCTTTAACAAATTTTGCATTTCAGTAAGATTTTGCAATTTCAATAAGATTTTGATTAATTGTTCAGCCCTAAAAAATACACATCATCAACACATTTTTCTAGCCCTATAATCTGCCAACAATTATTTTAGAGATTCTATCTTCAAGGCAGCAGTTACCACTGAAGTGACTGACAGACAGAGGAGACCCTACTCATGTCAAGCATGTGTTAGCAGGTGGTCGTAGATAGCAGGACTGTTATTTGTCTTAGTCCATAAGGAAGAGTTCAGTGACAGCCACTGACAAAACAAAAGCGTAAATGGACAAGGAGTGACATTCACCGAGTTACCCCAGGGAGGCTGTGAGATCAGGACAGACAGAAACATGTGGACAGACAACTGTGCCAGAGTCTGGGTTAGCCCAAGAGTCAACAAGGGAGAAGCCCTCTCCATGTCAGGCGTAACAACACCAGCGTACAGGCCTAAAACTACAAGTCCAATTTGTTTAGTTCATGTTGAAAATATAACCTAAAAGAGATCTTTGTGAACATCAAACAAAGCCATTACAGTATTCACTGTAGCTCCAAAAACAATGACAAGAAAACATGAATTACCATCTGAAATTAGTCCTTAAAATGAAATCCTAAATAAGCCTGATTCCTGATAATCAGACCTCACTATTACCAGGGCCTTGTCGAACTTTGTTGACACCATTAGCGCACTTCCTTCTCTCACTATTATACATTCAGATAAAACACTTGGTCCAGTGGGCCACGAGATTCATGGAGCAGTGTCATGGCCCTAATGCCAGATCCAGATATAGCTGGACACCATGGGGATAAAAATAACCAAACAGATGGGCGGGTTCACAGGCAAAGGGTGGGGGGGGGGCAGCAAACCCAACTAAAGATTTCAGAGAGGAGAAGAGAACTGCAATTACAGCTGTTTGCAAACCTCTGCCTTCTATGTGGTTAGCAAATCCTTTGCTGGATACCCATTCAGAGATAATGACCTCGCTGGGAGATACAAATGTTAAGGATAATCATACACAGATGTGGTAGAGAAGATGCCAAGCGTCCCCCAACTCCAGCATGACTACTTAACCAGTAGAGTTTTAGTAAGACTTTGCTTACATTAAGGCATTGTCAGAGAGAGAAAAAAAAATCTGCCAGTGATCAAAGTGCTACAAGTGGCAACACATTTATAGCAAAGAAATCATGTGCAGAGGAAATGGTTGAGCAGCCACTGGTTGGCCTAGAATCTAAGAAAACAAAGTGGCCTTGACATTTCATGTGGTTTTTCACAGCCTGTTTAAATGCTACTAAACCAGTCACACTGAAAAAAGTGTTCATGCTGACATAAAATAAAAAGACAGTAAATTATTGATTGCTCATTGCTCGTCCTGGTGTGAGATTATTAGAGAGAGAGCTCCCACAATAATTGACAAACTCTACTGACTGAGGAAAATGTTCAGTAGGTAGGAAGTCTGAAAATGTTGCTTTTACAGAAATGATTGCTTTAGATTGAGTGGCTAATTTTATACAACCTTCAAGGTATTAATTTCACTCCAGATGGACAAGTAGGCCTTATCAGGCTTGTTTAGAAGCATTTTGTGGAACGAGAAAAATGTTGCTGCAGAACAATAGAGCAGAGTTTACTTTCAGTTTGCCCTTTCTTAGAAATGCTGAAAAAGGAAAACAAACGCCTGTCCTTCTATAAAGACAAGACAGATAAAGATATTATCCAGTTTAGTCTCAGCTTACTCTTCATCACCTCTTTGATAAACCCAGGCAGAATATGGTTGACTCATTAACAGTACATGGGGCCAAGCTGTGGGAGGGAGGGGGTGGGGGACAGCTCCTATTTACTTCCTGTATCTGTCTCTTTTAGGTCAAAGAGTCAACTGCACAAGGAGAGTCTGCTGAACATTAAAATAAACTTAATTGCTAAAAAAATGCATAATAAACATAAAGTACGCAGGATTATTAATATAGGATGCAGATAGATACTGGAGATGTAGCAGAAAAGTGGTGTGGTGAACAAGTGAAACTGTGAGTTCATATATCTATGTTACTTCACCAACCAACTGATGGTTCACTTACCAATTTGATGGCCACATATTCGTTAGTATAGAGATTTTTTCCCAACCGCAGCTCTCCAAAGTTCCCGCACCCGATTTTTTTACCCACACGGAAGTTTGGGCCAACCATAAGAACTCCAGAATTGGTCCCTGAACTCCGGCCCCCATGCCCAGTCCTGCTGCCTGCTGTCTTAGACATCTTTTTCCCTTCCTCTGTCTCTCCCTTGCCCCCTCTCTTGTCAAAATCCATAAGCTTGTGATACCCTGGCCTCTCCACGGTTATTCTCCAGCCATGCAAACCATAGAAACTCCAGTAACAACGACAGAGGAGGCTTTAGGGAGGGGGACAGAGCTCACAGGACAGAGGAAAGGTGATGCTGTTAAAACGTGCAATGGTTCAAAAGACACTTAAATGAGCTTAAGTGCCCCGTGTGTCTATCAGACAGCTCTTTTTCTGAATGCTTCCCTTTTTCTTTGTGTTCCTTGTTTACCAGAGGGGCTCCTTCCTTGTGTGTTTCTCCAGCTCCAGTCTCAGAGTAGCATGTCCCTGCCTGAGGAATAGGCAGGTTGTGCTAGGATGTGCCCACAGACACACATACAATACTAGTCATAAAAAAGCACTCCGAAACCCAGCTACTGCATCCACAAGGCCACTTGGGAACATCTCCTGGAGTGCCTCATTCCTTCTAGTCAGCCTTTAGTGACACAGTGGACACTCTCCATGTTGCGAGGCCAAAGCAGACGGGGCAACCCAGAGTTAGAGGAAACAGCGTCGAGGAAGACAGGTAACGGATGGGTTTGATGTCAGCTGGAGATCTGCAAAAGCAAAAATTCACAAAATTCAGATGGTTTTCTGTATACCCTGTAACAGCAACAGATCATCTGTTACAAGTAAACTAATTTCCTTAATTATTTTTACAATATCCTTTGGCCTGTTTTTTAAAGAATGAAGAAAACAGATGTTCACTACGTTCACTAACTGCAGATGAGATACCCTCTAGTAGATATCCCCTTCTACACTTGTTACTGCGAAACACTATATAAGCATAATCTGTGAAGGAATCAATATAAGCCATTACACTGGAAAACTTAACAAATCAGTCATTTTCTGTTCCCATGACACTTCGTGGCCACACAGATTACAATTTTCAACTTAAAACATTTTACTTGAAGACTAGACAAACTATGTCTAGTGTGGTTGTTCTACAGCTTACGGCTTACTACAGCTGAAATGAGAGCTTGCTCTAGACCAGCGCAATAAAGCAATCAATATGAGCGGAAATATTCCACAGTGGACCTCAAACATTTTCTTTTAAATTAAACATATTCTTTAAAACCCAAAACAGTGCCTAACTGAGATTAAGTAGATCACAAAGTTGAATTATTATAAATTAGACTAAAGTATAAATAAGTGACAAGATATCAGACTAAGCCATACACTTCTATAGAAGCAGTACCAGGCACAAACAACATGAAACACAATCATAATTTCAGCTTTCACAGCAGTGTAACTTTGTGCAGCTTTTCGTTAACAATCCCTTGCAGACGTCTCTGTCCAGAGCGGCTCTCCTAACTCCCCTATGTCCATGATCTAAGATGTTGGTGGTGCTGAAGAGAGCAGGTAATGCAGGCACTAGTGAGGGCAGCTACTCTTTCCTATGGAAAGGCACTTACATGGATCAATGACTGCTGTAATGGTCATCTCATCATAACATTTGCATCATTGGTAAGCATATTATTGGAAGGATCTGGACACAGTCTAGTCTACAGCTGGCTCAGTTGTCTGGCAGACTAAGAACAGAACTAAAATGCAGTATTATTAGACATAAGTATGCTGATGGTGAGTGAGCAGCTTTTTGATTTTAATCTACACAAAGTTTATTCCACAAACAATTAAAATAAAGTACCATTATGATGTTTTAACTGATCAACTTTTTGTCTGTGAAATTCTAAGGAAGTTTCTAAATTATAACTTTGACTGGTTGTATGACGTGTTGCAGATCTACCAGGAAACAAACAACAGTTGACATCTTGTTGAGGAGGTACTATATTAAAACTACACTAGTTACTGAAGCCTAAAACGTTTAGAGGTGCATGTATGACTAGATAAACAACAACACAACCCATAAAAAATCCACTGAAAATCTTGTGTATGACTGCATTCTATCAGTACTAGAGAACATATTTATGGACCAGGTATGCAGTCAATCATTGCACTGTTTTGTTTTCCTTGTAGCATGACGCATGGTGATACTGCAGAAAATGAAACAAGTCAACTAGTCACAAGATTGGAAGTACAATAAACATGGTGGGTGAAAAAGATTGTCAAATGATCACATCTACTGAAATGGCAAAGTGCATTATGCCAGGCAATTCATTTGTCAAGGTGAGCCAAAAAACATTACTATTCCATACATTTAAAGAAAAAGTATGTCAATGTATGAAAATGAGAAAGGATAAAGATGTTCCTGAAAAACAACAAAGACCTAAATAAATTCAGGTAACTCTTTGGCAATCTTGGCCCATATATCTAGACCGTCTCATTTCAGGAAGTTGGGTATTGTTTTTAATGTCAGCTGTTTGGTATGGCTACTAAGTTTTTTAAAATATAGTGAGTGAGTAGTCACATATGTATAAGTTTTGAGTTGGAACTTAAATAATACGGAGACATGAACGATATCTCTAAATCTTGGGGTAGACTGTGGCTCTAACGTCAGCTTGCTGTTATTATACGTAGTCAATAACAGTTTCAGTTAGCTTGTAATAACACGACGCAAGACGACTTCAAACGTCACAAATATGAATACAACTATCAACACAGAGCCTCAAGTTGACATTAAACAGTAGTACCCGGACCAAACTGACAAGTTTTCCTTACTGCGGTTAACAGCTCCTAAATTTTAAAGCTTATGTTAATGCTAGTTAGCTAACAGCTAAATGAATAGTGCTTGTCAGCTGTCATTTAACGTTAGTTTCGGTTTACCTTCTTTCTCTCCTTGATAACACGAAGCTTGTTTTCCGATAACAATACGAGATGACAAAAACAAAATATAATCTTACAAGCAAACCCCGTCGACGACTGTCTTCAGAAAACCTGGGGTTAACATCAGACTAGCTGGTTCGGCGGATAAGGCCAGATACGACAAGCTTTCTTGACGTTAGTTAGCAAGCTCGAGCTAGCTTGATATCGTTCAATCGTACGCAATGCCCGTGTTCTTGCACTGTATATATAACGTTACAGCATTTAACGGTAAATTAATGTAGAATCTACGTCCATTCGCTTGTTGCAGCTAAATCGAAATGTCACATAGCAGTTTTAAGCTAACATATAGCCAGCATCCAACCAAAAACACCGATCCTCTTGGCCCAACGCCTGATTAAAAAACAGCTAACGATGTTAACAGCTAATCTGTTAACAACACTGTACGATAAGGACACAAGACATCTAACAGTTAGCGAATTAATGCAAATAAAACAAGTCGAAGCAGGACCGAGCATAAAATATTCATTGATTTGCATTCCCCCATGCTACCTTAACCTGGTTAGTTAGAAACGTTAAATGCTCAGTTAATAACTGAGAAATCCCAAGCGACGTTAACGAGATAATGTCAATGACTTAAGTAACGTTATCGATAAGAAAAAAGGGATCGTTGTTTCACCTGAGTGTATCGTTTTTGAGTTCAGATTCCAGCTACAGCCATTACCCTGACCACTGCCGGGCAACTCCTTAATCCTAAACAACCGATTGCACACCAATAGTAGCCTGGGATGTCTTACCGCTTAGCTTACTAGCTAGCCATTTAGCAGGCTAGCACACGAAACATTAGCAAGAACGTTAGTGCACGGCGCGACGGCGTCTTTAAAAAAACAACCGCTAATAATACATTTCTGTCGCCAAAGGAGAGCATGTTACCTTTAAAGTGTAGCTATCGAAACGTTGTCGAAGTCATGGTTCTTCGTTCGTGGGTGTCTTTCTCATTTCTCTTCCCCTAAAGTTGCTATGATTTTCCTGTTGTCTCTTTAAGCCTCCCTCAGCTGCCGATACCCAGGGACGGCGTCACGCTAGCTCACAGCACTGTGCTACGCTGAAAAACTGACGCAAATGGTTTGGGGAATACGGAAATACGTGTGTAGTTCATTGAATAGCTGCTTCAAACCTGCTTCAAACTGGTCAATTTGGTTGACACCGTTGGAATCTTGATAGAACTGAAGCTGTGATGGTGTGAAGATATATAAACATTTACAACCTGGTAAACATGTGCAACACAATTATGTTCTTTAGTTTGCTAATTTAACACAAATTAGAAGATTATTATCCTAAATATGATCCCCTCAAACATCAAGTTTTATGCCACAGGTGTATCCAAAGTATGAACACAGTCATATTCAGAGTCAATACTTCTTTTCTGTTACCTGCACTAATGTCTTCATCTTTAACCAAACACTGCCATTCCCAACTTATCATATTCGATGGGAACACTTTTGATAATTGTTTAAGTCATGTTTTAAAAATGCCAATAATTAACTTGTAACAGCTTCTCAAATATGAATATTTGCTGGTTGTCTTAGTCTTCTATGATAGTGAAGTTAATATCTTTGTTTTGGACTGTTGGAAAGACAAAATAAGTAATTAAATATGTTAACTTGGGCGCTGGGTAATTTTGATGGGCAGTATTTTACTATTTTTTGAGTTTATAGACTAAACAAGGAATCAATAAATCAATAAAACATTGACAGACTAACTGTTTAGCTGTTTAGCTAACTCATTAGCTGCAGCCTAATTCACATCACAGATATTAATATTGGAGAGGAATTTTGATCATATAGTCTCTCGTTCAGGATTTGAAAAATATACTCCTGTTTAAAAAATACTTCATAGACCAGATTGCCTTCATACAAACCTTCTAATATTAGGTGTCCATCAAATGAAAGCTTGTTCCTGTCTCACTTGCTGCCCACATGATTTAAATCCTTTTTTTTGTGAAAAGATTTTTCCCTGCTGCCAGTTGTTGGCTTCCTTACATTGTAAGAACAGTACCCCCAAAATGCAAAAGTTCATGCCAAATTTTACGTGTTATGTAGCTATGTAAACCACTTGTTGCTGGCAGTGCTCCAAAGTTTTAAGAAAAGCTTAAGTATATATGATTGAAATCAATGTCATAATATTGAGTTTTTTTTAGTATTTATATATATTATGTTATGGCAGTTATTTGCAAAATCAAAAAAAAACAAACAATTAAACTGACTAAAATTATAAAATATTATGACCATATCACCGCAATACAATTCCATGTCAATAAATGATCAAATTGAATCTTCACCCAGCCTTATACCAAATAGTTTGTATATTTTTCTTGAAAGAGACCTCAGAAGGCGTACATGTAATATATCTTTTTTTTGTGTCCCAAAATATATTTAAAGTGAGTAAAACTCATCTTACTGGCAGTACTAAGTCTCAAAAACCAAGAAACACCCCCCAGGGAAAACAGGTACAAAACATTTTATTTCACATTTCTATGTTGCAGTGCCTGGTTACAGGAAGGAACTTCTCTCAAATGCTTGTACCGTCGTTATGACTGTGTAGATACTTGGCAGTGTAACCATCTAAATAAAACTGCAGAAGACAACAATATCTTTTAATGTGGTGTTTACACTGCTTGTTGACTAGAAACAAAATGTGAGTAATCTCAAGCAAACTCATACCACTGGCAAACTAAAACCAATCTGTAGAAGTCTACAAAAAAAATCCTCTGAAAGTATATGACTATACATCTTTTCATCCCTTTAGATGGACAGGCAATAAAGTTCACATCTGTAGTCACATTTACAGAAACACGGCAGTAAGAGCTTCTCTACTTTGTTAACCTGTCTTTTCCCACACAGGGTTGCTTCAGGTGTACCTGAGTCCACAAGGAGACCACCGGCTGTAGGTATATGTCTACAGTTACAGCCCTAGGTGAGGGTGAGGCACAGCTTTTCTGGCATAAGCAGTCTGAAGGGAGAGGCTACAGTTTTTAGTAACTGACAATGGAGAAACCCCCATGGCGGAGCTGTGCTGCTGTATCATGGGCCAGAACACCGGGGGGAGGGGGAGCTCAGTGGACAGCACTCCTACAAATGGCTGGTGAGGTGAATGGCTGTAGTGCTCCCCCGTCATGAAGGTGAAAAGTGGAGGAGAGTGAAGTCGGAGTGGGCACCGTGAAACATCAGAGTCTGAAGGAGCGATAGGCGGGCAAACATCCCTAGATTTATCCACATGAGGAGGACCACGAGGAGGAGGGGTGATGCTGTCATTGTGTGATGTGGTGATGTCCTGTTTGTCTTTAGTCCTGACTTCATCCTGTCCCATCTTGCTGCGGTGTGGTGCTTCCTCCAGGCTGTGGTCTCTGGAGAGCAGGGAGCACCTCTGACCTTTACGAAACTTTGCCCTCCTGTTCTTGAACCACACCTGGATGAGCAAACAACAAATGTAAATTTATTTACATAGCACAATTCACACACAAGGCAGTTTCAAAATGATTTACAAGCACTTAAATTTTAAAAGGAATTTGAAACCAATTTTAAAAGATTGAATAAGAATTTATATTAATAAAATTAATTAATAAAAATCTAAACGTAGCAGGGTTTTAATCTTGCTTTCCAGCTAAATGTTCACCATAAATTAACATCTACAACCATGCAGTATTAGTTTTAGCAGGTTTACAGTCAGGTGTTGGGTGGAGTGTGCTCTAACCTGAATGCGAGCCTCAGGCAGGTTGATACAGACAGCCAGCCTCTCTCTCATGCCGACATCTGGGTACTGTGTCTGTGCAAAGGCTTCCTCCAGAGCCTGCAGCTGCGACACTGTGAATGCTGTGCGGCTGCGCCGCTGCTTCTGCTGGTTGCCATACCGAGCCTCCAGAATTAGCTCTGGTAGGATGGAGAGAAACAAAAACTCAGCAGCAAGTTCTCTCCAACTTAATTTGATAAGGAGCTTTTTTGCCCACATTTCCATTTTGTTTTTCTGTGTTATCATGGATGCTTTGACCCACACAGTTTGGTCAGATTTTAGACTTAAAAAGTGACCTCCTTTCTTAGGCTGACATATATAAATATAAGTATGAATTCATAGCAGGCTTTGCATTAGTGTAAGATGGGTGGTGGAAGAAGTGTAAAGATTCCACACTTCAGTGAAATGCTCTATTACAAGTCCTGCATTCATAATTACACTAGAAGTACTTAAGTATTATCAACTAAATAATGCAAGAAAATACTTTGATTAAACTAATTTATATGCTGCTGGGCAATTCAATCCATTATAAATGATCCTTTATTTGCAAAATAAGTGGCAGTACAACAGTGTAGAAATACACTGCTACAAGTTGGCATGCATTTAAATGTGCTTAAGTAAAAATTAAAAAATATTAGCATCAAATATACTTAAGATAATGTAAGATGTAAGATACTGTATTCATCCCTGAAGGGAACTAGCAGAAACTGCAATTGAGGTACTAAAAGCAAAATTACTCATTATGCACAATGGCCCATTCAGAATAATATATATATATATAAATAAAATTATTGTATAATAAATATTGAATGATGTTTACATCAGTTTAATGTTACAACTTGTTTTTTCTGTATTTCTAATCTGAATCTGCAAAATAACAATAAAATATATTTAATATATTGCCACAGAACTGTAGTGGAGTATAAATACAAAGTAGCAAATAATTTTAAACTTTAGATTACACTGTTGGACTCAAGTGTCTCAGTCAGATTGAGTGTTTATGTCTGTCCAGGACCAGGATGACCTACCTGCCAGTCTCTCGGCCACAGAGAGGGTGTGCACTGTGGGGCTGGCTGCAGAATAAACCTGGTACTGCTCCGCCATCTGGTGGTGCAGGTCGAACAGCATGGAGTTAACACCGTGGAGGGGATACAGACCGCTTGACGGCTCGCAAAAATTCAAAGAATTCATATTGAATCCTAGGAAAAATAAAGACATATTTTACTGACTGAAGGGTGTATTGTTGATATGGATAGCATTAGGATATACTGAAGTAGTAGAAATGTAGAATACTTCCACTCTCAAACTCTATAGGAAAAGTATCTAAAGCTGTCTAAATACACTTGTTATGAGGTCAAGGGAGCAATTACTGTAGAATGAAATTAAGATGGTTTTATCTTAATTTCATAAATTAGTCAACAAATATATGCGACAGAACATGAGGGACCAAAATTATTTCCCAGTGTTCCCTAAAGTATTAGTACTGTCCAAACCCTTTCTTGGCAATTTTTTAGTGACTCATCAGATTGTGAACTCTCAATTTTATAAGTTAATTAATATGTAGGATATTTTATGTAATATGTATGAAGTGGTAAATATTCAATTCAGTTTAATTTGGACGAGTGTGAGTGCTCACACCTTGCCCCCAATGTTGCACCTTACAGCCATAAAAGCAGCAAATATTACAACTCAAAAAACAGATTTCATTAATATCCATGATAAGGTAAGACATTTGAATTCTCTCCTCATTCAGTGACTTTTTCCAATGAAAACATCTTTAAAAGCTTTTCTGTCTGCGCAGGTTTTTCAGTCTCCCTGGCTGTGTACCTGAGATCCAGACCCTGAGCAGGAGCGTGAGATCCAGGTGCGCTTTTACGCACAGGAGTCGACCTTGGTGAGCTCAAGTCCAGTATTTTCTAGTCCAGTTTGGGCCTTATATCCTCGAACACCAGCGCTCTTTGTCGTGGCACAGATCTAATTCCCCGAAACCATTCGCACCCGACTATTTAAGAAGCATTTACCCAGGCTCCCCTCAGCCATTAGCCAATAGAAAGAAAGGTATTAGCCGGGATTAGGTGGGATGAGGGAAGAGAGGGGGTTGCAAGGGGCTCAAGTTTTTGAAACTATTGAACTTGAGAGATTTATGCCAAGGATCCCCCTATAAGCGAGCGTTTCATTCCCTCCCGTTAAAACAATTAAAACAATGTGGTCGGCTAATCTCCCAGGCAGGGCAGATTAAAATAACAGCCTTTGATTGTGCTCTCCTTCTCAGCCCTCTTTCTCCCATACCGCTGCCTTTGACAGTCTCTCATCAGAGGGGGTTTTTCTCCAAGGGTTTGTTTTGCTAACAGGCACCATATTTTGCCTATAAACTGTCACCATGTGAAGTTAATCTGTACGGTACTCAATGAGAACAATTTCTTAAGATCCGACTGAGCTAAATTAGAAGTCTTCCCAGGAACAGAAAAGCAAATCAGAAAAAACATCAAATCATCATCAAAATGAAGTCCCCCAATGCTTATAAACCATAGACGTGGAAAGTAACTGAGTACATTTACTCAACTTGACTTAATTACAGTTTTAATGCCACTTCATACTCCACAACATTGCAGAAGTAAATATAGCAGGCCTGCTTTTTGCTAGAGTTATTCCACAGTTAAAGACTTTTGCAGCTTGCAATTTTGCAGCTTCAAATTTGACCCCCAAAATATTCCTTCATTAAACGGGTTACAACAATATTTGTTAGCAATTAGAACTTCTCTGAGAACATATTTTATATTATTAAAACTGTATTTTACCATATTGTCATACATTATCTGTTTAGAAACCAGCCTCCATTCATGCATGCCCACAGGAGTTACAGTTGTTGACAGATACATTAATAAACACATTTGCTTCTAACTACATTATAGTGTGTTTTAAACCATTTATAAAAGATTCATATACTGCTTATAAATGATAAAAAGGGGAAGGGTTAAAGTAAAGTGGTATCTCTTACTCAAATACTTGACTTAATTGCGGTTTTTAGGTTGAGTAATTCCATTAAATGCCACCTTATACTTCTACTCCACTAGATTTTAGAGGTAAATAAAGTACTTTTTACTATATTATCTGACAGTGATAGTAAGTGATTACTTTGCAGATTAAGATTTAACCTATAGAAGTTTATAAACTTGTTAGATTACACTGCCCAGCTGTATATAAAATAGTTAAAAGTTGCCCATTAAAAAATGTTTGAGATTGACAGTTCAAGTTTGACCATGGGAACCTTAAAGTCCATTTAGTGCTGTAGCTGTTTGGGAGCTTTTCATTGTATCAAGATCTTCCTAAGCAAATGGAGTATGCCCAAATGCTTATGCAATTGTAGACGATTCTGAGGAAATGTTGTCTTTGCTTGCTTGCAAGGGGAGATGAGCCAACATGGACATTAAAATACTCACTAAAATGGTTCAGTTCCATATCAACTGGGCAGACTCCATCTGTTGAGCACAGCTACTAAATCTAGACCTTGTTGCATATTAAGTACTTACTGCTGGTATTATTTTTATACCTTTGGAATGCAGACATTTTGCTTGACATTTTGCTATTGCTACTTTTACTTAAGTAAAGTAGTTGAAAATTTCTTCCACCACTGCCACATCTAACTTTACATCGCACAGAGGTCGAGGGTTGTCGACAGACTTCGTAAAAGTCCCGACCGGCCTCGTCCACGCTGAAGAGCCTTGGAGAAATAAATCGTATCACTCATCCAAACATACTATTTTGGGATTTTTACAAACACAAATGTAGATGTGACCTATGTCTGTCTGTGTGTCCAGATATTAACATAGTAGATAATGTGTGATTAAGATTTTTTTCCAGACAATTAAAGCTGGCTGGAATGTAAAAGGTTTACTTTCAGAAGTTTGTTTGAATACTGTTAAAGTTGATCATACTTTAAAAATTGTGATATCTTCTTATGTTTACTTAAATTTAATTGTATTTACTTAATTTTCTTCACTCATGTCACAAAAAGTGTAAAGGTCTCTAAAATACTGCTTTGTGGTGAGTATAACCTGTTGCTTTATCCTTTGTTATCATTTCCTTGTGTTCAATTTCCCTTCACATTCTCATCTAACAAACATTCCTTCACCCCAGTAAACTTCACTTAAAGAAATCACTTTTACTAATATCCACAGATGAACGTGTGAGATGTCTTGACCGTTGTGTACTTTGATAGTGTGCACACATAACCACAGTCCACTTCTTCCTCTCACACTTGCACACAATCAACTGCTCAGACTTCCAAAATATGTGAAAATGTTTGTGCTCTTTTCTCCCCTGGCTTTTTTCCTCCTCCTTTCGCTGTTCTTGGCTGTCAAGCTATATTAGTGTCTGATAGAAATAAGTCATTTAGAAGAGGCTCTGTCGGCCAGCCCCTCAGCCCCACTAAAAGCTCCAGGATTAGGTCCCAGAGGCTTTTGTCTCCACAGCCCGCAGGATTAGGGGAGATTTACTGCGAGGAGAGAAAAAAAGTAGTTATTTCATGGCACTTTCATGATGAAACCTGGCCAAAGCTGTGTTGGCTGGGGGGATTAGAGGCACACAAAGAGTGTGGTTGTGTGTGACCCTCCCCATCCCAGAGCCACAACCACTGACTCACTCCCTCCCCCGCGGATCATTTCCCCTTCTGTGGGCCAGGCAGGGCTCGTCCGGGTTCACCTCCTACCCATCAAGACGACCAGGGTTCAGTCTAAATGAACTCAACTTCCTGTCATCCCAAAACTGCTTCATCTTCAAGTTCCCACAACAGCCAGTGAGCTCATACCCCATTACTTCTTAATCAAACAGTTAATCAGCAGTTTTGTGATTTCCAAACAAGAAACAGGCCTTGGTCTAATCACCAGGATGCAGTATTTTGCATTCAAGACTTAGGTGCAGAGGTAAATGAGAAGTTACTGGATTTGAGTCCCTCCTGTAGTGTTTAAAACCACTTAAAAGGAGTTATCCTGCTCTTAGAGGATCCACTTACACATGCATGGATTACAGTGAATAAAAGACAAAAGGCTGAGTCACATCTCTGACAAGAGTCTCACCAGAGAGCAGGTGAAACCTCTCGCAGGATTAATAACTGTTGTCACATAGCGGAGGGAATTACAGCGACCTCACTGCTCTGCTGAAAGTAAGAAAATTACGATGTGAATAGTCACTGTCAAAACATTCACTCTTTATCCTGCTTGATTTCAAATAACATGAGGTTATTAAAGTTTAGCCAATACAAGGCCCATCTCATATTGTCCTGTAGTGCCTGCAAACATAGGTTGAATGTATTGCTAAACATTTACCCACAGATACCAACAGTTTTTTTTTAAAGAGGTGTTGACAAAAAACACTTACTTCTAGAGAAGAAGTGCTAACAATATATTAACACACACAACTGCAGACTTGATGATTAAGCCTGTTGTTATAATGACTAATTAACATTTTGTAGCACCTTACACCTTATTAGAAATGGCAAATTCCATGAGCATTCATTAAGGAATTACCAACATATAATGCTGCATTATTACTAAAGAGAACAACTTAGCAACCCAAAAGTTATTCTTATTTATGGACATTATCTGATCTACAATGAATTAATAAATGATTTATCAACCATTAAGAAACTTTAAAAATGGTGATTTAAAAGAAGGCGGTACCAAAAGCTGTGTTAAATGTTCAATATTTTGCCATGCCATTATTCATTAGCTCTAAAAATAATAACAAATGATCCAAGGACCTGCTGCAACTAACGATTATTTCATTACTGATGTATCTGCCAATTAATCTCTTGATTAATAATTTTAGCGACAAAATGTCAGAAGATTGTGAAAATTGCACACATCTATAAAGCCTGAGGTGATGTCTTGAAATAGCTTCTTTTGTATGATAAACAGTTCAATACCCAAAAGGATTTTATTAGTAGTAGTTTATTATCAAAGAAGACAAAGAACAACCAGGTAATGTCGTCATTTTGGGAACTGGAACAAGTAATTGTTTTTTGTTTATGATCAAATCAAACAAAGAGAAGCAGCAAATCTTCACAACTGAGAATCTGAAGGAATTATTTGGCACATTTGGTTGAAAAATGACCTAAAAGATTAATTGATTATCTCAACAGTTGCCACTTTATTGCCACTTTATGTCAATAGACTAATACATTATTGACTAAT